CCGCCACGCCGGCGCCTCGGCCGCCGCCGCTCCCGGAGCCCGCGCGGCCGACGGGCACGGCGCCCGGCATGCTCGTTGCGCGGCCGGGGGCGCCCGCGCCGCGCGCCGCGCGCGGCCAGAGGGCGGCCAAGAGGATAGTGGCGCTGCCCGGCTTGAGCGTCGCCATCTGGGCGCGCTGCAGCAGGGAGCGGCCTTCGAAGGGGGCGCCGTGGCGCCAGTGAGAGGGCGCCGCGTCCTCCAGCGCGTAAAGCAGGTTCTGTTGCGGCGGTTGGGCGTGTTGGTCGCGCGTGCCGGGTTGGGCATGTCGGTTGTGCGTGTCAGTTTGGCATGTGCTTGGCCAAGGTGGAGCCGCCGCTGGACGCCAGAGGTCGATCGTAGCAGCCAGGCATGCCAACCCAGGCAACCGCGAATACTCTTGTGAGCCCGCAAATATACGCCACGGCTTGAAACAGAACCTCAGCGCTGCAGCTACCAACCCAAAGCCCCAAACCCTGGGTATGCCATCCCTGGGCCCGCTGGCACCACCGAGGGTGAGCCGACCCCGGGCCCCTGCGCTGGGTGTTTGCCATGAGTTGAGCACTCCCCTCTACAAAGGTCCGCCTTCATCGCAAACGGGGCGCCGATCGGCGGCCCGATTGGATGACCACGTACGCACCGCCCGCACCGCGTGCCCGCTTGAATGCCACTGGTGACAATCACCCGCCCAAGACCTCAGACCCACAGCTGCAGCCATCTGCCCCCGCCACCACCCTTGAAAGTCCAGCAGTAAAAAACAGCACGGGCATGCGGCAGCCAAAGATTCAGAACGGCGCCGCCACCAGCCCCCGCACCTGCACCAGGGCGCGAGAGTATTCTCCTGGGTCTACCCCCTCCAGGGCCCACGCGCTCACGCCGTCGCTGATGGCGAACGCGCCGTGGCCGGCCGAAGACACGAAGAACGCGTCCTCGCCGCCCGTGTGCGCCTGTCGGTGGATCCCAGACGATTTTGAAGTGGCAGATGCGGGCATCCGGGGGCTGTGTTCAAGCACGGTCAAAGGCGGCGCAACTGTGCAGAGGCCGCAAGACCTTAAACGCGTGTTTCACGTTCGGCGGCAAACGAAGGCTGAGTCTGTCGTGTGATTCAGGTCAGTGATTAGTGACTCCAGGGGATCGCGCACCTTGTCTACATGAGGGATCATCGCCGCGCCGCACACCAAAACCAGCCCTTCCCGCGCCCCCTCGGGCGGCGGCCGCGGCGCTGCGGCTGCGGCCGCCGCCGCTGCGGCTGCCACGGCCTTAGCGGCGGCGGCGGCCTTGCGGCCGCCGGCGCGGTATATGGGGGCTGAGAGGGTGCCGTCGAGTGATGCGCCGTCGCACAACTGCCTGCCTGGCCTGGCAGCGGAGCCGCCGTCACTGCTGCAGCCGCCGGCGCCGGCGCCGGCGCCGCCGATGTCTACAACTCCTGCCCCATCCCCTTGACCAGAGCTCCGCGCATCAAAATACACGTCGTCCATGCTTGCGCTGCAGCCGCGGCCGCCGACGCCGCCGGGTCCGCCCGTTGGGTTGCCACCGCCTGCAGCGGCGCCGCCGCGGGCCGCGTGATGGTAATCGCCGCCGCTAGCTCGTGAGCCCTCATTCCAGCGCGCGTCCTGATGGCAGGGCGCCGGCGCCACGGCGTGTGACGTCCCGAAAACCTGAGCCTGCGGCGCCGGATGAGCAGGGGACGGAGTGTTGTGGCGAAATCCGGGTCCGGTGGTTGAATTGACGCCAGCATGTGTCAGCTGGTGGCGGTCCACACCGACAAATGAGACGGCAGGCTGCAGCCCGCGAGCAGCAGAGGGCGGCAGAGCGCGTCAGCAAGCAGCGAGGCCGATGAAGAGAGCGCGGCAAAGCAACCGCGTTGACCCACCGTTTGCCCTGGCACCATGAGCACGGGCAAGACCGGCGGAGCCGGCGGCGTCGGCAGGCGACCAGCCAAGCCGGGCCACTTGCGGCTGCCGGCGCGGTACACGGGGGCTGAGAGGGTGCCGTCGAGTGAGGCGCCGGGCCTGGCAGCTGAGCTGCCGTCACTGCTGCAGCCGCCGACGCCGCCCGGTCCGCTCGTTGGGTTGCCACCGCCTGCAGCGGCACCGCCGCGGGCTGCGTGTTCATTGCCGCCGCTAGCTCGTGAGCCTTCGTTCCAGCGCGCGTCCTGATGGCAGGGCGCCAGCGCCGCGCCGTCTGACGTCCCAAGGACCTGCGCCTGCGATGGCGGGTGAGCAGGCTGTGGAGTCATGCGGCGAGGTCTGCCAGCCGAGGTGACATCAGCATGTGTCAGCTGGTGGCGTTCAAGTGGACAAAGAATACGGCAGGCCGCAGCCCGCAGCGGAGGGCGGCGGAGCCCGTCAGCAAGCAGCAAGGCCGAGGAGAAAGAGCGCGGCAAGACAACCGCGTTGACCCACGATTTGCCCTTGCACCATGAGCACTGGCAAGACCGGCGGAACCGGCGGTGTCGGCACGCCACCGGCCACGCCTGCGTTCCCCTCCACTGCCGCCCCCGCTGCGGCCGACGCTCGCTTGATGCCTTCGTAGGTTACAGCAGCCGCGGCGGCCTCGACGGCGGTGTCAATGGCGGCGCCGCTGGTCGCGCTGGGGACCGAGGCGACCGAGCCCTGCGGGACGATGGCGGCGCAGCTGTGGCCGCGGCCTTTTGGGCCGGCCGCCGGCACCCACATGCTGGCTGCCAGTTCGCCGCTGCTGGACCAGCCCGCGCTGGACGCGCAGCTGCTCATCGCGCGTGCAGCAGCCGCGGGGCCGGGAGGGAGCGTGGCCGCCGCCTGCCCAGGGGGGGCCATCGTGGCACCGCCGCCGCTGAAGCTGCTGCCACCGGAGGAGCAGAAAGGCGACCCCGGCGGCGCGGTGCAGGGCTCGGTCGTGTGATACGCGCGGCTGGCAAACGGGGAGGCCCGCCGCGGATGTGCAGCAGGCGCCGTAGGGGCGCGGGACGCAACCGAAGGCGAGTAGTGCCCCATGAAGCCGGTCTGTGAGTTGCAAGTTGGGCGTGGCGGTGCAGGCGGGCGGTTGGGGTGTGTCAGTGGTCACGACTGCAC